AAATAAACGAATTTGTGCATTCGACATCATGTTGTAAATTGCCAAGTTTTTGATGGTCCATCCATTATTTTTTTTATTGATTTATCTCATGCATTTAAATTTTAAATCGACCGATTTTAGATTGCCGCACGTACCCCTTCAAGCAATTTCGCATACCCCTTGGGGTACGTGTACCACTAATTGGGAACCATTGAATTAGACAAACCAATTATGGGGTCTAGCAATATAAGTAGAAATACTCGGATAATTAACTTGCAGGGCTTAAACAGCTCTATGTTTCAAGGATCTGACATTAAGGTTATTCAATTAAATGCAGAGAAGTGTAAATTGTATCTTCATTGTTACTCAATACAGTGAAAGAAAAGAACGTTGATATCGTTGTCCTTCAAGAACCTTATAGGATAGGAGGTAGTATTGTCCGATTTGGGGGCTGGAAAGTCTTCCCCCCCAGTGGCCTGTATACCCAAAAACTGGTATTTTATCACCTAATAAGGATATAAATATGGACTTTTGTCCTCCTTACAGCTCCAACTGCATAACAACTGTTCAGATCTCCTACATGAACAATACTGTTTATAGCTCTCCATACAAAGAAATTCAGGACATTCTGCAAAAACTGGATAGCATTAGTCAGAACATTAATAATTTTCCATGGATAATAGCAGGGGATTTTAACGCAAAGTCTTTCACATGGTTTAGCCCCACGGAAGATGTAAGAGGCAGACACCTTACGGACTTCTTGTCTAGTCACAACATGATTTCTTGTAACATGAGTTACCGACTTTCTTCACGGATAGGGGGAAAGTCGGGTTGATATCTGTGCAGCTAACAGATATGCCCTCAACTTCATGAAAAAGTGCAAAATGATCCAAGAAATCAGCACTAGTGATCATCGATACATTGAGTGGAATGTTCATAACACCCATTATAAATTCGGATTACATTCGGAATAGTTATTTGGGAATGCGCTCCTAATTACAAGATACAAACAGTATAAATAAATATTATTGAATAATTTACGCTATTATGTATTATGATTCTGTGTCTGCCTATTATCTACAAGGGTATCAACAGATCGTGTTATGTTAAGCAACTTTCCTTAGCCATATAGACTACTATTACAACTATTATTCCTTTCCACCTTCTGATTTTTCTCCTTTGCATTAAGAGGAAACATTTGCAGTTATTTTGAAACATTTTAATAATTGAACCTTGATGATTCTATATTGAGAAAACAATAAAATTAATTTATAAATAACATATTACTTCTTTTTCATAATTTTTGTGAATAACCTTTTCATCAGTTCAGATTTGAAAAAATTGAAATCTTCATATCAATTCAAGAATGTCGATTATAACTAATGTCAACGCGAAAAAAGGTATCTGCTTTATTTCAGTTAATCTAAAAGCACTTTTTCTCAACCAAGCCCGTTATTAAATAATACAAGACTGGACATCTTACATACAGTAATTTATTTATTACTGTCGTATAGCTTTAGATTTTAAAATCAGAGCAATTAGTTATATAAAACATATATATGTTTGTAAATTTAGATATTAAATTTAAGCATTAATTATTATAAGCATTTAATCTGAATTTTAAAGTATCTCAATTATTATTTATTATTTCATTTGTTCTGTTTTTACGGAGTTAAAATCGAAAAATAAATAGTCGTTGTCAAATATTAATTGCAATTTGGATATAGAATGTTATGATGTTACGGAAGCATAACTAGGCAAAGTTGTCAAACTGTAGTCCGCAAGCTGTTCGACGTGACAGGACAGTTAATCACGTGTTAACAAGTCGTTTGCTTTATCACGTGATTAGTGCAAAAAGAACGGATTCTTCCGCTAGAAGAAAGCCTACATGGAAACGCGAGACCTGGTCATGTGACCAAGTGACGTCAAATCGGCTCACGTGACACGGTTTGTGTGCATCCGCCATCCAGCGTGACGAGGCGTTACAGCGTGAGTGGCTGCGACTGTGCAACATCTGTTGGTGGATGCAATTATGCTTCTTTTTTGTTTCCATAATTACATATTTTCAATGGTGGAACCGTTGTTAGACATTTGTGATTTACGCGATAGAAAGTTTACCAAAAGAAAAAATTTGTATACTCATAAAAGAAATATTCATGGTATAAATGTCGATGTATTAAAACCCCATAATATTAATTGTGGTTTATGTGACAATAAATTCATAAGTTACAATGATTTTCGTGACCATTTAACTACATCCCATGAGATTAAAATATATAAAGAAGAAGCGAAATTCAAAAACTTGGAAGGTATTTATATATCAGAATTCCTTAGTACACTTGTTAGTATTATATTTGATATTGTTATTTTATGAAGAATTGCAATTCATTTTTATACAATTTCAGAATTCGAGTTGGAAGTTAGCAAAAAGAGAAGGAATTTAAATGCATATATAGAAAACAGACGGGCTTTAGAACTTCACAGGGAAATAAAACTTACTACATCTGTCATCGATCAGGAACACCAAACTTGATAAAAGATGAGAGAAGACGACAACTTAAAAGTCAAGGATTGTGCAAAATGACATCGTGCTGTCCTTCTACAATAGAAGTTTATCAAAATTATAATTCTAAAGAATTTATATGTACATTGTTTGCTCCACACACACGATTCTGACCTTGCACATATTCATCTCAGTAAGGATGAAAAGACTCAAATAGCAAGTAAATTGGCTATGGAAGTAAGTTTTGATAAGATACTAGATGATGTTAGAGATAATGAGCGGGATCTTTGCAGCCCATACATCTGCTTAATTATCAGGACTTAAAAAATATTGAAAAACAGTTTCACATTTATCATTCTTTGAGATTGCATGATAATGATGCTATAAGTGTAGAAATTTGGGTAAATAACATGTTAAAAATGAAAGAAAAATCCCCTGTAATATTTTATAAGGCTCAGGGTAAGGATTGCAGTAATGGTGTACTTGAAAAGGATGATTTTATGCTCATGTTAATGACACCTTTTCAAGCATCATCATTACAGCAATTTGGTAGTAATATAGTTTGTCTAGATTCCACACATGGAACTACTATGATTTCCTATTAACTACACTTCTAGTACATGCACATGGAGGAGGGTTTCCTGCTGCCTATTTATTGTCTAACAGAGTAGATACAGCAATTCTCACCACTTTTTCAAGGTAATCTGTGATAAAGTTGGTTCTATTGAGTCAAAAGTATTTATGTCAGATGATGATCCTGCATTTTATAATGCATGGAATCATGTAATGCCAGAACCACAAAATCATTTACTTTGTATATGGCATGTAGACAGGAACTGGAGAAAACAACTCCAGAAAGTAAAAGGTACACAAGAAACTAAGATACAAGTGTATAAATGTATCAGGATGCTATCGGAAGAAAGGAATGAGGAAGAATTTCAATCCCTTTTAGATAGTGTGCTTAATGATCTGTTAACTAATGATATTACATGAGATTTTGGAAATTATTTTTTGTATCATTATGCAAACAGAGTTTACCAGTGGGCATATTGCTATAGGAGAGGTTTAGGGATAAATTGTAATATGTATATGGAATCTTTTCATAAAATTAAGCACATTTATCTCCAAGAAAAGAAAGGAAAAAGGGTGGATAGGGTAATTTATGCACTAATGAGATTCACCAGGGATAAACTATTTGACAGACTGCATAAGACAATTAAGGGTAACTCATCTTATCGCTTAAAACAGATTGAAAATAATCATATTAAAAGTAAAAATATAAATAAAGATAGTATAGTTCAGGTCAACTGTGCAAAGAAACAGATGACAACTGTCCAGCAGAAAACTGCCAACTCAGGTATGTAAAATGTAATATATGTATCCATAGTTGCAGTTGCCCTAATTATCATATTAACTATACAATTTGCAAACATATTCATGCTGTATCAACTTATACTAATATATCAGAAGTATCTTTGCAAGATCAGGTGCCTGATGATCCTGTTAGCCAGCAAGAGAGTGAATTATTTACATTTACTGCTGCTACATACACCACAGCAATTCAGGTACAAAAACATACAAAAGAGAGGCTGCTTGGAAAATGGGATTTAGTAAAATATTATTTAACAGGTGTAAATTTAGATGAAGATAGTGCAATAAAAGTTGAGAGAGGTATAGATAGTATACTAAGTTTAATTAACAGCAGTGATGGTGGCAAAGACTGTGCAGATACCTGAAACAAAAATGTTACTCAACAGGTGCGGTTTAAGCCAACAAAACGTAAAAGAAAATAAGTTTCAAGTTTAACTAAGCCAACTGAGTTAGAAAAGTCTTATATTAAGGCTCAACTTGATACAATTGATGGGGATCATATATATGCTATAAAAAAAATCTCTGTTTGAATGATTATTTGCCATTGTATATGCTTTGTATATTTGAAATTTTATTCATAAAGATATTTGTGTGAAAAATATTTGTTTCCTTTTACTCTTAAAATTTCTAAAACACTACCCTTACTGTTCAATTTAATGGAATTTTTACATCTTTAAAGTTATCAAAATAAAAACACGATCGTTTTCTAAGCGATTATTGATTTCGGTATACGAATATAATAAGTACCCAGGTATCGGACACTCATCTGATACGGGGATTATAGACTGCAGCAATCTCGAGGAACTTGTAAGTTCCATCACCAGATGTCGCACAGTCGCAGCCACTCATAGAGCCCTCTATAACCAGAGTATGGTCAACTGGGGGGTCAAAATATGATTGGCTACTGCCGGTCACGTGGTTTATGGATGCCATTATGAGGCCAGCTTCCAATCCGCCTAGGACAAGTGTGTATCGATTAGCTATTTAATACGATAAATAACAGAATTGAAAACTTTATATACCAGGTAATTCCGATCTAAAATAGATTTTAAACATCAAGTTAGTTCTTACTTTGCTATATTGAGTTTAGAAATCATTATTTTAGCCTTTAGATCTGCCGATACATTTAAAGCTACCATAATAAATCATGCCGGGTTGCTCAGCTGTTAATTGCTCAAATAGAGCTCCTAAATTCAAACTACATCGATTTCCTAGTGATGAAGCTAGAAAAAAAATATGGGCGATTAAAGTAAATAGGCTGGATGAAAATGATAAATTATGGATTCCTGGAAAACATGCAGTACTTTGTGAGGTAAGAATTGGAATTTTTATGAGAAAGGACTTCTTTCTGCCTACCTATTTAATGGTACATTGCACATTAATAAACTAAGGCTAAAGTGTATTAAGTCTGTTAAATTTTAGCCTTTATAAGATTATTGGCTTAGTGAAATGTGAATATTTACAATTAACTCTCATAGGCTCATTTTGAGAAAGATCAATATGAGAATCACAGGAAGGATGGAAGAAGATTACTGAAGCGTGATGCCGTGCCTACACTTTTTTCTCACAGACCTGCACCTAAGAGAAGAAGATGCTCTGGATCAAAAACAGGGCATAGAAACAATTGTGAGCATATAGATCCGACCTTAGATCACAGTTATGCTGCAAATTTATTTCCTATGACATCTATGCAGCCCAGTACAGGTATATTTATAATATATATTTAAAATATTCTTATTAAATATTATATTTTTTCTTATTGCATACTTTGTTTCTTTTTGAAGAAAATGATGATGACTGTCAAAGCACGAATGGAGATGAAGATAATGAGACATCTGGTCCAATATTTCAGGACTCCAGTAATCATGTTAGCCAGCCACTGTCACCAAAATCAAAATATTCTTATTAAATATTATATTTTTTCTTATTGCATACTTTGTTTCTTTTTGAAGAAAATGATGATGACTGTCAAAGCACGAATGGAGATAAAGATAATGAGATATCTGGTCCAATATTTCAGGACTCCAGTAATCATGTTAGCCAGCCACTGTCACCAAAATCAAAACAGATTAACGAACTGAAATCTCAATTGCAGAATGCGTTACATAGAGTTAAGAGTGCAGAAAAGTAAGGATCTCTATGAAGAGATAAGAAAATTAAAGTCTAGAGTCAACACACAGTACAAACATAAAATTAATTTTCAATCCTGATCAAATGAAAGCACTTGGAAACATGTCAACACGGGGAATAAAATGGCAAAATAATACGATCAGAAAGGCTCTACAGTTAAAATTTGCTTGTGGAAGATCAGGCTATGAAATGTTAATTGAACAAGGCTTGCCTCTTCCGTCTTTACGGACAATACGAAGACGACTACAGAACATTAATTTTGAGAGTGGAATACTTCACAATGTGTTCTCATATTTAAAAATAAAGTCACAGAAAATGAATAGCCTTGAAAAATTCTGCTGCTTATCGTTAGATGAAATGGCTATTGCTCAGGGTGTTCAGTATGATCCACAGGGTGATAGATTTTTAGGTGATGTAACACTGCCAGAACATGAGGGATATGCAAGTCAAGCATTAATCTTTGTACTTGGTGGTATCACTAGTCGATGGAAACAAACTGTTGCATATTTTTTCAGTGGAAATTCATGCAAAGGAGTTGTATTGCATGATATTATCCTTAGCATTATCAAAGAAGCAGAAGACATAGGTCTGAAAATTATATGCATTACATGCGACATGGCTAGTGCAAATAGAGCAATGTGGAAGGCCTTTGGGATCAATGTGGGCAAATATGCAGAGACTATTAATAAGATTGTTCATCCTTACGATTCATCTAGATCTATCTACTTCATAGCAGATCTGCCACATATTTTGAAAAATTTCCGCACTGCCCTGTTAAATAATGTAAATATTATTCTATCAGCTGACACTGTTCATAAATATAATCTACCAACAAATGTTGTGGATTTGCA